TGACTCATGTTTAAATGAGTCAACAGATTCTTTATACCAGATGTCCAATTATAAGATGTTTAAATTATCTAAATAAATGCCAAGTCTATAGGCTTCTGAAAGAAGTGTGTTGTTCTTTGTTTGTTTTATTTTACACCAATATTTAATTTTTTGTTTTATACTAGTAATAGCTAATGGATATCTTCCTAGTTCTAGTAGACAAGCAAGATTGGTAGCTTTGCTGTTTACTCTTAAAAGAGATTTACAGAATTTTACATGCAATTTTTCCATAGGTGTTGTCAAACTAAAGAAATCTTTTGCCTGGTTGTTGTAATCAGTTGACCATATTTCACTGCAATAGAGCAGTATTGGTCTTACCACAGCATCAAACATTTTTATATGTACTTTTAATGGAACTGCAGTGTCGGAATACAAAATTTGTTTCATTTTGAAATAGGCTTTTAGAGCTCTATTTTTCAGGTCCTCTTGGGCTCTGTATCACAACTATGCTGTTTATATATATTATATACATACCTGTCCTGGGTAATAAGGACCTTGATCGCATAATTTATCACTGAATAATGCCCCATCCCTAGCACTGACATCCACGTTAATAAATATACCACCAAGACACATCCGTAGTAACACAGGTGAAGATACGGACACAGTGTAATAGTTCAACCTAAAAACACAGACAATAAAACAGACAACTAAGAAGTAGAAACGAACTACTGAGCTCCCTTATCTGTTAAAACTGAAACAGAGACCTGCTTCAGTTTGAATCATGTGCCTTTCACATTTTTTGGCATTTTTCTGTAATGTTTGCCACACATGATAGAATGAGAAATAGTTTGTTTTCTGTCTCAGAGAATGTGTCATTCAAATCAACCTTTAATGCATGTATTTAAAAGCATTATTTAATAATCATTAAATGTTGAACATATTTCTTGTTGTCAGGGTATTAAATAATCTTAGTACAAAAAAAGCTTGAATTTTGATATGAGATGATACATTATAAAAATATTGTTATTATAATGTCATAATATTTTTCATTATATTCAATAGAAATTTCCCATAATGCATTGTACATATACTCAGTAGTGCAAAATTTGAATTCTGTTCAAATTCGCTTCACTGAGGAGTACATAAATAAATACAATTTTATGTAAAGTGTGCTTGATACTAACTTCTTTAAAGTGAGCCTAAAGTCCTGTTTTGCCGTGTCTATTGTCACCTCAGCATTTTGTGGGGGTGCTGGGGCAACAAAATGCTGCCATAGAACATCACACGCAGTCTGAGCTATGGAGTAACACTGTACTTGATATGCGGCCTGTGAAATGAGAAGACAGAGACAGTCAGGAGAGACAAATGCTTTCCAACAACCAAGTAATTAATTAGTATTCAATGCTGCATGTACTTGATGATCTCTGGCAGCTCTCATTCAAAAAAGCTCATTCATTTGACTACAAAAGATCACTAATTGGTAGTCCACATTGGTATTCATGTCCAGCCTTGTAAGTAATATTTTGTATTTAACTGACCTGGTGATAAAACTACAATGTAATGTGCAAATCAACCACACAATGCCTTTCATATTTAATGACCTATTAAATCATAGCTTTCATTCATAATTGAAATCGAACATTGTTTCATGCAACACGTCTTAATGCGAGACATAATGCCTTATATGAGTTTGCACAAAGAAAGGTGCTTTTAGTTCAGCACGTTCTATTTTTTCGCTTGATGCTGCAAGGGAAAGCCAACAAGAATCTTGTGCTGGCAGTATTGAAATAACAACACTAAAAACAAAAATTAGACCAATAAACACAATATCCAAATCTTATGTACAAGTTCATTGGAAAAACAAAAACACTGTCAACACCATGAGATAAACAGGAAGATGACAAATCATGACTATACACAACTTAAACTCACCTGACTGAGAAAAGCCCATGCCATGAGCACAGGCAATGGATGAGAGGCTAGTATGGGCTTACTTGTATCACCAATACTATCACCAATCAGTTTACCATCTGATGTGTATGCTGCTACTGCAAAGACGTATCTCTCACTGGGTGAGAGACCAGATACAGACAACTCACAGTCATATGCTGGCACCTACAATAACAATAATCAATGTAATTACAGGGTGACAATTTGATGATTCTTATGATAAATATATTTTGCAAAATTTCAACATTTAAAAGGTATACAACGCATAATTATAAAATTGTTTTTTTTAATCTCATAATAGAAATAAATCATAATAGTTGTTAATTAATTTGTGATTTAACACCAGTAATACTCTGCACTAAATATTGAAATGTAATTTTCATAAATTTCTTGGCAGACAACCACCTAAATGAAATGGCTGCCATATTTAGAAATACAATACCTGATTTCCAGTGCCGGGTAGGAAGTAATCATTGAGACGGACTTTGACGTTACTACCACTAGCAGTACGAGCAAACAAGCGGTACCAAGCAACCTGCAAAATTATAAAAAAAATTAATGCTACTTGTTTAATCATTTATTTGCTGTTTTTCTTATTTCACAGATGACTAATACACATACATATTATAACAACAACAATGTACCATATATAAACGGCCATCTTACCTTTTCTGCAGGATTAAAGGGAGCAGGCTTGAAAACCATCATGGAGTCAGTTCTACAGAGCAACAACGGCGCAGGAGGTGCACCAGACTCCCGTACCACGCCAGGTTCTGTATTCTGAGTAAACAATTTGTATTCTTGATCTTGAGCCTTTGTTATTAGATTCATCGCCTCCTACATAGTGAAACATCAATTAAGATAGAACAGTTCAATTTACATTTTGTTATTGTTAGCAATGTATATTTATTACAAATCTTTTATATATTCTCGAAATTCATTTCCGTTAATATTGAGGTGTTTTTTATTTCACTGTTTTATGTACATTGTCTGTGTAAACAAACACAATCATTATCAAATGAGCCATCTCTCACATAAAATTGCAGACATTCAAGACAGCACCACACCAGTTTATCAGAAAGTTATATAAGAAGCGTGTTTTTTTTCTGTACACACATAATTGTTATATTTACTCTTGTTTGTATTTAAGTTCTAATGCAATAAAGAGTGCCCAAGTGTGTTAGGCGTCATCTGGTCATTTGGTCATGATTATCGTCTTTTGCATGGAGAGCAACGACAAATTCTCCCCACCCACATAGATAGAACATTGATGCAAAGAAACAATCACTAGTAAACATAACAGCATGGCAAACCTGTAATGTTGGTTGTAGTTCTTTGGAAGAGGCACCATCTCGGAAGGCACTTAAAGCCTTCTGCATGTAGAACAAAGCTTTAGATATGAGATTCTTGTTACATCTGTTAGAAAGCTCATCAACATTCTCAATATAACTACTTGAGTCGCTTGATATCTACAGAGGAGCAGAAAAGACAATGATAGAATTCACAATCAATTGAATATAAAACCAATGAAATACTCAGTATATAATGTAAATACATAGTGTTTGTTTTAATGATTTTACTGGGCATTATCCCATGTGATTAACTATTATGCCATGTGACTATTATGCCATGTGATTAACTATTAAATATGTTTAATTTGTATGGCATTGAAATAATTTCTCAAGCTTTGTTCAGTAAAACTTTTTGGGGATTTACAACAAATCAGAAAAATCACAGTAAAGTTATGCAACTAGGATTGAAAATGTTTTATTTGATCTCTTTCATGTGTTCTAAAATCATATCAGTTCTATTTTTAGTAAGATCTTGTAATGGTGCCAAACACTATACCTCTTTGCCTTTTCTGGACTTCTTAGACTTGGAATCTGACTCTGCACTTTTCATGGCGGCTAATTTTAGACACACACGGTGATACATGAACAAAAGTTCCATGTGCAGATCCATGATTAGGTTACGCACGGCATCTGGATCATCCGGAATCTTCTCCGTGGATGTATCTTTATCTTCAGAATCCATACAGACGTTCAAATGATCACGAAGTTCCTAAAAAGTAAACAACATTGAGAGTTAACCTTCAATAACATAGCATACAATCTGATGCTGAGTGAAATAGCTGATAAACAAATATGCAGTGAATCTTATCATTCTTATAGTTATTAATGTTAGCGATTTGATAATTCATAAGGAAATTATGGAGATGAAACTTTGTGATAAATTTATTCTCATAAATCTGAATGAAGTGCTACAATGCTACATCTTCATTATTTGTTCTAACATATAAAATTTATCTTTTCGGAAGAGTACTTCTCAGCGTGGAAGATACCTTACCTTGACCCACCCAACATCAGCAATAGATTTACCATCGGTCAAAGCCACAGCCGCCCGAGCATCAGAAATACCTTGTAAAGCCCTCTCTAGTATATCTCTTGCCAGCAGAAGTTGATCTTTGGCTGATTGTTGTAAGATAGTTAAAGAATACATTGATGTGGGTGGTCTACCTGTGTCTCTACCTTCACTGGTGATGCTCTTAGTTGGGGACTTGCCACCTGCAGAGTCTGCAAATGTAAAGATTCATCGTAAAACAACTGTAATCTAGCTCTAGACGAGGAAAAAGTCTTATAGTGTTGGCAACACAATATAAATCAAGGATGTGTGCATCAAGCAAAGCACTTCCTGTAAAACACAAACTCATCAGATTTGTTGCGAGCAGATGATAAAAAAACTAGACCCTTAGATGCAAAAGAAGAAGATGCTGTAGAAGAAGCAAGAAAACCCAAGGACTTGTTTTTTGCCCTCTAATAGTGTTCCATTATCATCCATCATTGCATCTAATCAACTGATCTATGTAGCCATGGTAGATGTATACTTGCGGCGTCATGGGCTGCATTATCCACTCACTTTGGTTTGTAGATAATACTAGCCTAGCCTACAAACAAGTGATATCAGGTGATAACCTCATACAATACCTTTAGCAGCACCTGAGGAGACTGACTGCTCATCCATATCAGCTGACATCCTACCAGTCATGGAAGCTGAGTCACCAACACCACTTTTACTTTTACCTTTCCCTACAGACATATTATAATTTGGCAAGATTTAGTAATGATTTATCAACATATATTGCAAAATATAGAAAAACCTTTGCTTTTGCAGCTACCTCAATAATATTCAAGTATAGTAAAATAAACAGAAAAGAAACATCTAAATCTGAGTTATTTTAACTGAACACTACCTAATGCAACTTGACTCACTGGGTATGCATTCAAGTTTTATGAATCAATTTGCTGCACTGGTACACTAGGGTGGTTGACTAGAATAATAATGTACTACTAACCAGACTGTGCTCGTTCTGGTGTGTCAGTACTGGCATTGTTTTCCAACACCAGTGCCAGCCTCAGAGCCACCTCGGCGGTAACCGCAGGGTCTACCAGAGATATACCACACCAATACATCACTTCATGCACTATGCTGAGAATATGCACCCACTGTTAAGAAAATCAAACAATTATAAATATTGCACATAAAATACACAAGAATCTGTTTAGTGTCTTTGTCAAAGTCAGTCTCTAGTGAGGGTAAAAAGAGGGTGATGAAAATACAAGTGTACCTTTCCAGGGTTGTCCATTCGTTGTAAGTATTTACCGCTATCAGAAGCACCAGTCTGGAATTTCTGAAATGTGTTTTTGCACTTATTCCACAAAAATAAGGTAGCATCAACAATCATGTCTCTATCAACAGTAACCTAAAGAATGCATTAGAATAGTATGGTATTAGTATTAGTTTTAGAAATCTTGATTGAAACATTAAAATAAGTTTTTCATAAAATATAGCTATTCTTTCAGCAGCAATCATGGCAGTATCTGTTCAATGGGAAACTGAAAAACTGTAATGTGTTTGTACGTATCTCAGATTTACCATACATTTTCAGTATTTCATCAAACAAATACTGCCCTGTTTGTAGCCAACAAAACATAAAACAAAATTATTCAAAAATGCTATCTACATTGCTACTTTAAAATAGGTTTGAAATACGACTCACCCCTACAGGATCATGTACGCATGAATTGAGTAACTCAGCTAAGTTAATCATATCATCATGATGCGACACAATTACAGATTTCTGAGACGCTTCACGAAAAAAAAAAAGAGAACCGATATCAAAATTTTTTTACAAACATTGAAGAGCTTTTTAAAAACATGAAAATATATGAACTACCGATTGTGTGTGTGTACGAAGATGTCAACGATATTATTGTATCACTGTGCCATAACAAGAAAAAACTGATTCAACACTAGATTTGATGATCATATAGAATTGAGAAAAAGTGTCATACTGATAGAGAATTTAGTTCTAGATACAAATGTCGGTGACAGTGCATGAGACAATGCATGCAGTATTCACTTATGTGCAATAATAACTTTAATTTTGAGATACGTTTGTTTTCTCCTAGCAATAATTTATATACTAGTTTTTCAAAATACTATCAATCTAAAAGATTCTATTTTTTTTTCTGACTAACCTTGAGTAGGAGGTGGTGGTAGGCCGATCTCACTCTGACTACTCTCATCGGCATGTGAGACAGTCTTCTTGTATTTTCTGCTAGGATTCAATGGTTCCATCGCTAGTAAGATTTCCAGGGCTTTCTCGTCAGCTGCGTAATATGGATCTTGCATTTCCTATAGGAGATAATAATGTTTATTACTCAACACCTAAAAATGTAAGATCAGATAATGTTTTGAATCATGTGAGCCGATAAACTTAGATGTACATTCTACTGCCTTATAAACACAGAATTATTAATGACAACAATTTATGGCAATAATTTTGAAGAAGTTTACAGAATGTTTTTTAGGGGGTGGCAATTAGGGGATCTATGCTTTGGGTATTTTAATATATAAATCAGAAATACTTCACTCAATGTTGGTTTGATAGTTATAAGTAGTACACAATATATTGAGTCATTAACAATATATAAATGTGGGCTTCATGAGGGTTGATATATTGACAATAAATTCCTTGATTGTTTGTTTTTATAATCTAGTATTGAGCAGTGCTAAGCAATATTGAAATGACAACAAATGACATGTGGATCATGCTTGTGATGTGTTGAAAAAATATATAAACTCTTATATTAAATTTTACATGTAGCTTTTATCATTATCAATTGTGTCATCATAAAATAGTCTTGTGGAATCATTTTGTGATTCTATTTTATGCGTGTTCTTACAATTTTATGCTCTACCTATACATTCTATGTTATCGATAAAGAGCCATTGCTCGTAAAGTCAAGTTATTTTTAATACCGGTAGTTACTTAGGACAACGATTACCAAATATTATCTACTGTGTAATAATAAATGTTTCTTTTCATCAAAAAATTACTGATATATCAACTTGGCTCAAACCATAAAATATTAAATTCTGTTGAATTCTGACCCAAAAAATGGAAACACTTGAGTAAGGTAAATTATACATGCATATGCTATGTTATATTGACTTACTTTAATATGCTCCAATGCCAGCTCTACTAAGGCATCAAAGGTATCCCACTGTTCATAATTATATGACCATTTTATAAACTTGACCACACTGTGTAACGATATCCCATCTTCTCCTCGCGTTGCCATTTCAATCAGACTTCTTCTACTTTCTGCGAGTCCCAACAGAGTAGGTTCGGTCGCTTGCTGGGGACTGCGAGGTGAGTGGCCACCTCCCCCTGTAATCCAATAAATTCAAGTGTAGTAATTGGATGTCACACCGTATATCACTGTATATGTATATAACTATTCAGGTTCATGGGCAGCTGTTATATCAACATTATGAGTTCCACATAATGCAAGTTGAAATTTTCATTCAAAACTACAAAAAAACATGATATATACCTGAAATAAGTTCTACACCAGCAAAAAACAGTTCTGAGAAGACGTCCAATATATGGTCATCTGAATCAGGAGCAGCAGGACCAGTCAGTAGCATACGGCGAGTGCTATCCGCGATGGTCTCCAAGATAGCTAGGAATTGTGCCGCACTGCCCTCAAACATGTCGGCCAAGAGTTTCTCAGCTGGAGTGCGGGGCCAGGGGAGCTGTCAAATCAGAAATGTTGGACTTGATTATAAAGTCATCTCTGCAGTTTGCAATTAAAAACGAGCATGCAAAATAAAACACAAATAATAAATTCGAGTAAGAGTACATAACGATATAGTATCAGACACTTGGGAAGGAGGTGGGGCCTGGACTGATCAATCAGCTTGGCACTGCAACAAACAAGTACAACTGCAATGAAAACAGTGGGAAATAGCACATGCAAAGATATGTACATGGAGATAGTGGGGTCTGAAACCTGCACAGAACTAAGATGACTATCACAAGTTAGTAAAAAAACTACGGGCATTTACTAACTCTAATCAAGTCTAAACTAAACATTGTACTTTTAAACTGTTAGTACTAGATTCAGCATAATAAGCATTTTTGTTAATTTAATAAGCGTCACCTTAATTCCTCTCGTGTTAGCTCACCTAGTGGATACGTTAGCATAGAAAATAAAATAACCCGAAAAAACTGCCCTGTGACCATTTTACTCACGTTCCCATGCTTTTTCACAAGCTCGTCTCGCCTCTGTTTAGCAGTCTTACGCCAGACAAGACGGCCGTCATTCGCAATAATTATGGTAGGGGCATTACGACCACCGACATGCTAATTAAGGATATGTTAAAATAAATGAACAAAAACAAACACACAAGCAAACACCCAAGAAAAAAAAAAAGCATGCAAAAATATTATAATTGGGATGATTTCAAAAAGGTTAGTTCGGGTTTAATTAACTAGTGCAAAGCTAGAACTCACTTCCCCCATTAATTGAAAATATACTATCTTTTCTAGTTGCTTTTCAAGATCACTAAGTTCAGTTTTCTTTATAAAGGGTAGCAGAAGATAGTATAAAACAAAAAAAAGAAACTTACAACAGTTTACATACAAGTTTAATATTAGTATTATAAACATACAAGTAGATAGAATGACTGTGCAGTGAGGTGTATAATGATATTACATGGAGTGGGCCATGTGATACAGCATATTGTAAATTTTAAAATGATTGATATTATACTGGCTGAAATGAATGACTGAATTAGTTAGTTCAGTGCAGTCTGTTAGTCAGTCGATGTCAAACTCATCAGGGCAGAGTTTATATTACAGCTGACTAAATGTGATTATATTTTCTTTAAGTTGTGTCTTGGTGGTTGCTAGAACATAAAAGTGAGTGATAAAAGTTCTCTAATAAGACAAGATTTCTAGTTATTAATAATAACAGCGTGATTTAAATATATTTCCTGTGTGCATTTGTGAAATTGAGAATTTCCAGTTTCAGCGTCGATGAAGAATGTGCATTTTTCAAAATACAACAATTATTCACTTCTGATTTGAGACTAACCAAGTCAGTCCACGCCCATATATAGAAGAAGCAATTTTAGTTTACAAGGTATAAAACAGGTAAGGGTGAAACTGAAAATTCTTAAAGTATATGAAATCATCTCCTTGCGCCCACAACAAAAAAATGACACCTCCAGTGACTGACAGACCCAGGTAGACATATCTACAAGATACAGCTACAGAGCACCTTTTAGTTCAGTCAGTCACTAGAAAGTAAAATAAATACAATGTACATTAAAGCTTTACTGGCATGACATGTAATTTCAATTGATTTCACATATCTACATGATACTGAATTTCACCATAATTAAAAACGACGACAGTAATCTTCATAACAGGACAGCTTTATTTAATTATTTAAATATTAAACACACTGGGTAATGATAACATGACAGTTAGTCCACGCAGGATTTATATTATTCAACAGATAAATGCAGCCACCAAATGGTTTCCCAAATGTTTTACCGTACGACATTTATAAAAGTGAACCACACCTTCCACCATTATATGTATACACACACTCCCACCACCGATAATAATGAACAGCTTTAAGTGTAGTGAAACAATCCCAGAAATGCATAGCACCAAACACGCAAATTTTACCTTCTCGATGGGTCTATATCATATGTTTTGTTTTTATTTCATGCATTTTCATGCTAACCCACTGTAATGGTTTTAACAAATACCACCTCAGTTTTCTCTACTTACAGACTGAAAATCCTTCAAATTACTTCTCGTCTTAGGTCTGAGTAGACCCTTTGGTTTCTTTCTTGTATCAAAGACAGCACGTTTGTAGACCATCACTCCGACCTATGGTAGACAAATCGGAGTGCATATTTATTTCTAGAAATAAAGGCAAACACTACTGAATGACAATACAACATTGTGGCGTTCATGGCACACAGCTAGCCCTTGTTTTGATATATCTAAATCGATATACTGTAAAAGGATTAATTATTAACTGGGTTTTAATTTTGCTAATTTCGCTGACTGAAAAATGCGCTAAATTAAAACCCAGTGAATATGTAAAATTTAGCATAGAACTCATTATCTAAATGATAAAACCGTGAATTTAAAACCCACTGAATATGCCTGAAATGGTAAATCAGCGAAATTTAAAACCAGTAAAAAAATTAGTCATTTTACAGTATACACCTGGTGGCATTGGATCAATCTAGAAGTTTCTGTATTGATCTAGATGAGGAATGCTTAGATGCTTAAACTGGGTCTCACTTTGGATCGATATAAAGCATGGGCACCTGAGGTACAGCAAGAAAATGAAAGGTACATGCCTAAAAACAATATTAAATAGGATACATTTGTATTGTATTGATTGGTAGTCAATAATTACATATTTGTGGCATAATTGCTTAAAAAATTTTTTCATCAAAAGTACACATATTTGTTGAAATTTACCGTCATATGACATAATTGCTTAAAAATTTTTAATCAAAAGTACACATATTTGTTGAAATTTACCCTGTCATATGACATAATTGCTTAAAAATTTTTAATCAAAAGTACACATATTTGTTGAAATTTACCCTGTCATATGACATATGTGGCTGGATAAAAGCCCGGTGTGGAGATGACACAAGGCAGATAGAAACTATCAAGCAATGGGCAAGGACAGACCCATGCTTATATCAATATTGCTGCATTTTTATACAGATTGTAGTTTATGAATATAATAGAAATAATCTGTGGATAAGCACGGGAAATCTACTGAATTCTTATATCGAAATTAATAGGACTAAATTTGTAGTACATGTATCTGCACTGCAAGTGTTCCATAACATCAGTTTAAATTTTACCATACATATGACCAGCAAGGTCTGCCAGCTAAAAACTTTATACATTTCAGTTCAAGGTGAAGCAAACATGCATCAATGAGATGAAGCATCATGCAAGCAGTGAAAAAAAAAATCACCTTTACAGCAGCTTGTCTGAAGATCGATTCACATTCTAAGCTTCCAGGTGCAGAGCTAATCTTTTCCAACTGACTCAATTCATTGATCTTATTCAGAGCTCTCCTCGCAAACATCTGTGAAAAACAAATTAATGTTTACTGATCTCTTATAGTATTAAAATTGCTTTTAATGGACATCAAGAAAATTATGTGATTTACATGTGTATGTAACTTGCTGTTGAAAATCTCTTCTATACATATACAGATATAGAAGATATCAATTCAGCTCGACAGTTCAACATTTTGTTACTGAAACATCAATTGAAAGCCTATCAAAGGCACAGCCAATACAATATTGAGTGAATAAGAATACGTCTTCAAACAGGTGGACCATGTTTTTTCCTGGTGACAACTATAGAATATTTCATTGCATTTAGATTAATCTACGTAAACCATGTTTATAATAATTATTGGCTACATTGTCTCTGACCTTCTTTGAGTCAGTGAGTGTTATCTAAACATTACTTTATTTTGGCTCATTTAATTGAAAATACAAACGATGTAACCATTCATTTGTTGAACTGCACTGATTTTCACTGTTGTGAATCGATATGAACAATTTGGTACTTAATGAAGAGTGAAAACACTATGACTAGTAGAAGTTACATCGCTCACCTCAGCATGTTGTGGTGCTTTAGAATCATAATAACACTGACACACAGCAGTGTACAAAGTGGTTCTCCACAACAAATACTTGAGACTCAGCAGAGGTATGGAGCTCTCCATGCACATACACGCCCACAACAGATACTCCAACACCTGAAGAATGAAAACAAGTTATTGCTGCTGTACAAGATATCATACTACAAGGCTGAGACTATATAATATTGGTTTATGTGGTTTGTTACAGAATTATCACTGCCTCACCTGTGCTGAGTGTCCTAATGTCATTAAATGCCTGGAAACGCTGTAGATATGAATGGTACCTGGTCAGGAAGAACGATAAATATAAATTTAATTTAGAAACTACAAGATAATGAAACAAGTTTAAACACTAATTATAATAATAGATTATTTCAACATAATAAAAATAACATCCATGGTAGACTGATATCTCAATGATAAAATTATGATGATAGTGTAGAATGCAGATACCGGTATATAGTCTCATCGTAGGAACACCATTAGTAATTGCACATGCAATAAGCCTTAGATGACAAATGGCCGCCAAGTTGAGAGGGAGAGAGAGCCATGAGACTTGTTTCTATCCCTCAAATAGTGTTCCAATCCCTACTGTTCTAAGTACCTGTACTATTTGTACCTGTATTATGGTATTTGGAACAATGAATTCTGTAACTGGGAAGTATAGGATGCTATTTGAGGGACAAGACCATTTTCTAAAAGTTATGGTTTATTTTCAGCAATAGTTCTTTGCGGTTTGAAATATAGTTAGAATTGGCCTATTCCAAAAATGATGGCCTATATCAAACTACACACCCCTATTCCCCTATTTTACATAACACCATAAATTTATGCTATGCAAAGAACATTACTGATACAACTGTCATTCCGTGAATAGGCTTTTACAAGCTAGATAGATGGAAAACAACTCACCATTATACACCAGCCAACACAGTGGTTCCCTAGGCAACACCACCTGGGTGATAAGCCGGAGAAATGCCAAAATCTTGATGCACTGGGTAACTGACTCTATGTTCTGCAGTTGTGAATCGATGAGCAAGACCACTTGATAGTTGCAGATGCTCTTACCATACAATGCACGGAACTGTAGAGATAAAAAAATGCAAGTTGATGGGTTGAGATGTCTGTCAAAAAATGTTTCCTGAGTGTATGATGGAAAGCAGAGTTGAAATCAGCTTGTTCAAGCACAAAAATGAAGATGAAACACTGAAATCTCTGCATTGAACTAGATATTTTGATGGCTGAATTATAGAATTCCACTTTTCCCCAGCATAGAAAGCTTATTATCAGCTTGGAAACTTAAAATTAGACTATTTTTATGAGTAACAAATAATAATTGAGTGATTTGAATTACATCTCAAATTATTGAAAAATAATATTATTATAGGGAAACTGCAAAGTATGCATGAAGAAAGGTCAGTGGGAGTATCGCCCGATGAGTAGTCAAGGTCGATGTAAGCACATACTGTAATGTCTAAGTGAATATTTTGAGGTCTCTATGTAATAACCTTGTTATTATTAGTACATCTTTCTGACTACATGTAAAAATAGTCAGCTCATACTAAATTTGAAGCTGAATTAGAAATTTATGATGACAACATTAGTTATAAGTTCAAATATATGCAAGGCACTAAAGACAGCTTTGTTGTCAACTGATTAGGGTAAAGTTACTAATTTTATTTCTAAGCTTTAGTCTTGTTTGTTTCGTGTTCATTGATTTAGTGTATGTTTTCTCTTTCATGTTGAAATCTGTGTCAAGTAAAATATCTATCTATCTCAATGTATGAAAAACTGAAAAGGTGATGACAACTAGTGGCACTTTTTTGCTATGAACTTTGATTTGAAAATATCATGTACATGTATTCATTCAATATTTAGAATTCCCATTTCCTAATAAGGTAGGATGTAGATATCCTGTGCGAGTATGGGACTGTGGATGCTGTGGCACAAAGTGCATTGTAATATTCAAAACTTACTGTTAGGCTTGCATGTTTAGTTTCCATCCCATCAGGAAAGAAAAGATCTTTGACAGTTTCGATGTCTGTGATGTCTTCTATCTGACGATCACCGAACTGCTGTAAATATCTTCCAAAACACTGCCAAAGTGCCATGTCATATTCCTGCAAAATAAACAAGCCATGCATGGCACAGTCCCAGTTAGTTATCGAATTTAGGATATATAGTTTTGTTTATAGTAATATAGCTGGAATATAAACATGTCAGGAATATGATTATGATGATTGTTTAACATTTAAATGATTGACATTTGTATCTGATCGAGTATTGAGAGATATTGCTCTGGAACAGCATTAATTAAAACAAAATCAGCCATTTTGAATACATGTATAATGAATATATAAAGTTTGAACATAGTCAGTCAAAGAATGTCAGAGATATTAAAATAAAATGGCCACTAGTCAACCATTATGAATCTGATCTAAAAAATAAAATAATGTGCATCAGGAACCCGTAATGTCTAATGTATGTACCAAGTTTTAACAAAATCCATCCATAAATGCCAGAAATGCTTGATATTTGATGAATTTTTAGCTCAAAAATGGCCACCATTCGGCCATTTTTAATAGGATCGTCAAACCAATATATCTGTATATCAATGACATGATGTATAATATTTAAAATTTGAACATAATCAGTCACAGCAAATCAGAGATATGGCACTAGAGCCACATTCATTAAAAAAAAATGGCCGCCAGTTTGAACAAAATCCATCTGTAAACAGCCAAGAAATGCTTGATTTTGATGATTTTTAGAACAAAAATGGCCGCTATTCGGCCATCTTGAATCAGATCAGGAAACAAATTGATGTGCATATGTATAATATCATGTATGATGTATGTGTGAAGTTTGATTGTGATTGGTCCAGGCATTTCTTAGATACAGGTCCGGATGCACACACGCAGGGATGCATGGAGGTCAAAACATAAGTCCCCATTTTCGAACTGCGTTCGAACGGGGACTAAAAACATTGCCGATATAATATAGTTCACAGTGACCAATAACATGAATGAGATATGACATACAAACTGTATTTTATTGAGAGAATTAAAGACAAAAAAATGCCCGTTAGTATACATCACCATTAGGATTTTTTATGACATCATAGCTTTACATTATGACATGATAATGTAACATGTTATCACATGATAATGTAAACCTTTTTTTCCTATAAATCCATTTCAAATTCAACTAAATATGTATAGCTTTGATGGTGGTGATATATAACAACAATAATGAATCCCTTACAGCATCATACTGGATTTAAAAAAGGTTCTAGACACAAGGTGAAGCCTTACACATTTATCTTGCACTAATGCAGTAGACAATGTGAGGAATTTATAATTGTTTAAATAACAAGGAGCGGATGGGGATGTGCAAAATAATGTCGCTGTCGGGCCCAATATTTAAACGAATATCCCAGTTCGAGCTCTGTTATCACATATTATGGCAGTCTTTTATTAAAATTATAATAGTGATACATATGGGAAGAAAGAAATTGAATGAGTGGTTAGCGTATCAATGATGCTTGTATTTCAGTGGCGTATAGACTGATCAATGAAGTGCACTATATAGAAAACCTGCTCACATGTAATTTTGTTGTTAAAATTGACCAGAATTTAAGAAAGTGATTAAAATGTGGCCAATAAACATCTCAATTGAATATGACTGATTTACACACAATCTTAATTGTTTAAATGCAGTAAAATAATCATAACATGGTAATAATTACATTTAAAGGACAGTAGTTTTCCCATGCAAAGTATATAACATGTAAAATACATTTTTTGTGAACATAAATTTGAAAGTGTATTGTGTTATGACCACTGCCCTTTAATAAAAAAAAAATAAAAATAACTTGTACTTACTTTGACAGAAACCAAGAAATCTCCCATTTCAATAAGCCTTGTGAGATACAACATACGTGGCAAACGTTCCTCATATTTGTTCCACAGTGCGAACATAGAATCTGCACTGTAAAATGACAGAAACACAAATACTGGTGTATGTAAATGGCAAAAAGTAAATGAATTTAGATCTTTGAGTAGTACATAATCCATAACCCAATTTCTTTTAGTTCTATGCCCATATTAAGCTGCACTATTACCGGTATATTAAAACTACAAGACTGAATTCGTTGAGTGTGAACTATGTATTGATGAGTCAAAGCAGCACAGTTACTTATAAACTGAAAATCCAAATAAATTGATCAGTGCTATTTTTTATAATTTGCTGATATTTCATTGCTATTACTTTAATAATACTATGCAGAGCAGGGGTCAAAATTAATTAAGGTCAGCCAACCTTGAACATATTTCACCTGGGACAGGTAAAAATAAACTACCTGTCCTTCTGGGCAGGTGAACAATTACTTAAAGTTTTTACTAACTTTCAAAATTGGGTTGTCCAAAATTGTTAATGTCCAGAAAATTGCCTACAGATTTGTTAATGACATAATGTGAGCCAGGAAACAAAATAATATTTTGAATAACATGTCATAATATATCTTGCTAGGGACAGGTACATCAATTAGGACAGATACTTTTATTTACCAACCAGTCCAAAGGACAGGCAAATTTAATTTTTAATTTCAGCGCTGCACTTTCCAAACGTACAGTGTACATCGCATTGTCATATAGTACTCACAAATCCCTGTGCCAAAACCTCTGATTAATAGTTTTCCGTCATTTCGACACTTTTACAATTTAAAGTAAGAAATTGGTCGTTATGAAAGAGTTCCTTTTGTACCCCGGCCCAATCCTAACTCCTAACCCTCCCCTCAAGTGCCTCCAAATTTAACTGTATATGCCCCTCTAAACACTGGAGCTAAACATCCATGGGTAAACATTGATCGCGATTCGGAAAAACATTGATGACTTACGCTCGAGAACAAGCCTCGTCATCCTTTCTTACGTAGGTCGGTGAGACCTTCCTTTTCATAAACTGGATAAACAACTTGCACTCATCTTCAAACGCTGCAATCACTGGATTTTTCTTGCCGGTATAAAACGTGGAAGGCGGTTGTTTAACATTCTGTGCAGCTTTGTGCTGCAGAACCACCGCCATTTTGGCAACAAATAAGTTGCTAAGACGAAACCAAGATTGGAAGAATGTTAGGAACGCAGTACTGAATACTGAGGTTATTTTACGTAAAATTCTGATATTTTGAATAATAATAATATATTTGAAAGATAAATATATATAAAATACTCAATAAAATAATAGTTTGTCGAACAAAATAAGATGAAAACACGATACGCATTTTAATAGCAATAGTTTACTACCCTTTGCAATAATAGTCGCGACCAGGTTACCTGGCCTCGATTTAGATTATAAACCGGAAGTGTTCGGCAGCTGAGCGTTTCTGATTCGTATCGTGGAGAATACAGCAGACGATATTTATAGTGAGTTTATTTCGGTCAGTTTATTTGCTTACTATCAACAGTAAATCCATGACATTTTCTTTGAAAAACTGTTATGGTGAGATAAGAATGAATGTGTAAACTCTATGGCGGTATCACGGGGTAACTCGAAACTGACCCGGGCCCCGACCTTCTCAGCAGTCAACAGGCTGACTCAACTTCATTATTCATGTATATTGACAATATTTTTTGTGTAGGAGAGAACAGAGTTCCTTAAGGACCCCTCACCCCTAATCTGAACCCTAACACTCCAGCCTCCAATGTAATTCAATATATCTCTCCCTACAAAAGACCAATTGAAATGGGGGAGGGGTACTAGTGGGTCAGTGTTGAGACTAGAGTTATGGGTGAAGGGGTCCTGAGGAATTCTTACCGAGAGAACTTCATTCAATCACTGTACAGATTACTTGTGTTTATTAATTCCCATCTGCAATGCATATAATCAGGTGTCGCTTTTTTCCATTTTTTATTGAAAAGACTGACTCCATTAGTGTTCAATGAGCAGAAAGTGCAAAGAATGACAAATGGCTGAAGTGGCATCAACATCAGTAACCGACTTTGGTATGGTACACTTCCTATCAAACCATAGTGGATTTAATGGCAAGATTAAAGAACGGTACAAAGATTTCAGAGTCACAGAGTTAACAGTTGAAGGGGGTGCTGTCTGTCTTTGTCTGAATGGGAATGTTGAGAATCCTGTGAGATCACATACTGTCCATGATACCTGTTCACAATCCATTAACCAAGACAGAAAAGTTTTTGAGTATTGGAAAGGAAAAGATGCTGCTACATTGCAAGCTACTTTATGTGAGGTTTTAAAAAATGAAGAGCCACTTTTAAAACTCAACATATTTTCAGAGAAAATAAATAATGATGCTAATCACCACGGTGACAATCAAAATGATGAAGATTGCATCTCACTTGGGCTATTTAACGAAAAGGAACAACGAGCAAAGCTTCACCACTGTGTGAAACAGCTCCACCCACATTTAAAAACAACAACATCTAGAAATCAGGAGAGTAGCTATGAAATTTTTGCTTCCAGTGATAGAAATTATTTTGAATTTAAAACATTGTTGTCTGCTGATCAGGTGAATAATTTGTTGAGGTTCATTGATGATAAAAATGCAAGTAGCATGTTAAAGCTGCAAGTTGGAAAATGTAAAGAGAGGAGGACTAGAATCCATCGCCTGATTGCCAAATACTACGGTGCTATGGTGGAAACTAAAACATTTGTCGGTAATTTCAAAGGTGTAACTCCTCATGAGAAATCTTCTATTGTGGTGAGATTTCGTGAAAAGTTCCATCAACAGAAAGGAAAGAAAAGAAAACATGCTGTGGGTGAAAATAAAGAAGACATATACACAGGTAGAACATTGACTTGTTTTTGCTGAAATTGTGTGTGTAAATAAGAAAAATATTTTGGTTGGCTGTTTTGGCTCTATTAGAAGTGTGTGTTCTTAGATAAATGACAGAGCTATGTCATTAATCAAAAGTCATATTTTAATGATCCAATATACAGTAATTGCAATTTATGCTTCTATGGGAGATATGCTTCTAATAAAGAATTGTTAACATGACAGGTACAAAATAGGTATCACAACACGTCTCACATTATATTTTGTTTTCTCTCATAGCTTTCGTATTAGAAAAAAGAGATTTAGAAACATTGGATGCTATCCAGCAGATCGCTGATGCCACTGGATGCCAGCCGTCTGACATTAGTTATGCCGGGATGAAAGATAAAAAAGCAATCACAACACAAGCTATGGTTATTAGAGGGGTTCTTCCACATAAGTATGTGAATATAATATTCAGTAAATCGTAATAAAAATTATTAAAAAACAATGATTGGACAAATGATCCAAGTACCGATTTATTTTATACATAATGCTAAAAATAAAGCAGTTGGCCTTGCGTGGGATTTAAGGTTATACATCCTGGTACTTTCTGGGGACAAATTAAATAAAAATGATAATTTCTCAAAAATGCAATAATTTGTCATTGGAAGTTGAAAAACAGTTTATTACAACAGAAATCAGTATATGCTAACTACTGCCTAGAAATTGCCAGCATGTATTCCGGTATATATGCATAAGAGCGTTAATATAAGTCATATTGTACTATTATTTGATTCAAAACCTAGTGCCCGGGTATCTAATGTATATTAAATCAAAACATCAAAAATAATTTAAATATGAAATGCTGAATATATATTGTTTTATCTTAAATGTCTTACTATTATTTCACCTAGAATTGTTCTTTTAACTAGATTACAAGAAATTAATGATTCTTTGCCAAATATCAGAGTTGGCACGATTAAAAGATGCTGTGCCCCGTTGAAGCTTGGTCAGCTTGGTGGAAACCACTTTGAGATACTGATACGAGATGCAACTTCTGAATCTTATAGACTTGAAGATGTTGTTTCCACAGCAATGGAACATATTCAGGTATTTAATAAATTAAATGTATTTTCCATAGTGAAATAAATAAATATCTGACATATGAATATTTGCACATTAATTTAAAAACACGTACCGTACTGAATATATGAATTAATGGAATTGAGTGTTTCATATCTTCTTGCAAAGGCAGATAGTGTAAAATTGCAACTCCTTACAATCCATAATTCCATAGCAGAAGAATATTAGGTTCATGGTTACTTGCTTCATGTTCCAAGATTGTTCAGTTATATGCTGAAACATACTTGGAAAATAAAAATCTATAGCATTAACACGTCCAAACTGGAAAAATAACATAAAATCTCTATAAGAAGCATCATCCCTAATAAAAGCTGCACCCACACTTGTTGAACAATTGAAAAATTGTCCTCGTATGTGTAGATGCTCTATTAGAACTTGCATCCCTTCTATTGCATTGTAGCATTTTAATAGAAGCATAGGCTTCCAATGATTGATTTTACAGTACTTGAATGGGCTCTCATGGTTAAATTACTATGCAGCTGAACATTGCAGTCATTAAATTCTCCTGAGTACTTCTTTACTCAAACTTGACAACTAATAAAGTTCATGTAAAAGAAACTGTATAATTTATACCAATTATAGCAGCGGCTTCCAATGACAGTACTTGAATGTACAATCGAGGATACATTAGCTTTACACAAATGGGCTCTCATGGTTAAATTATCATGCAGCTGAACGTTGCAGTCATTGACTTGGCCTGAGTACTTGTTTACTCAAACTAGACAACTAATAAAGTTCATGTAAAAGAAACTGTATAATTTATACCAAATAATAAATGGAAATTCTCTTTTCTATTGTTTTGGCATACTTTCAGCATGTCAGCAGGTGTGATCTGAGTTTGTTCAAACAAGCTTACCTTTCCTCTCAGATGTAAATTCCATTAAATACTTTCTTCACCAAAATTGTTTGATCTGTCTCTATAGGAACATGGATTTGTGAATTACTATGGAACACAACGATTTGGTTCAAATGACAGTCCTGTAACTGCGGACAGAGTTGGACTAGCTCTACTCAAAGGAAATATGGTATGATTAAATAATAACTATGTACCATTATATACATTTCAAATACATTTCAGGCAATAAAAAAAAGGTTCCTTGCAGGCAGAATTAATACATATGTTTGTATTTGCAGTATACATGAAGTGTATATGAAGTTATATAATATTTGCTGTTTTAGAATGCATATAAGTGGCAAATGCAAGCCATTTAAAATATTTACCTTCCCTCTTTGGGCTTGAACTTAGTTTTCTGAGGAAGCCCAATCTCAAAGCCAGAATGGCTGAAAATGTCTGTACTCTCTGAAACTATGAAGGAAATAGACTGTTTTGAATGAAATCAAAGAAATCCATTGGGCATTTATACAATCATCTCTATGGCCTCCAGGAATTTTTGACCCACTTGGAAAAAAGTTGTTCAAGCTTTATTTTGAGTGGCCATCAAAGAATTGGTCAAAATTGAAAACAAATTCATCCAACAATATCATAGTATTCTGTATGTTGGGTTCAAAAGTTTAGATCAGAAAAAACCTGAAAATACAGTACAGTATGTGTTTATATGTGCTATTTATCCATTTTCAATTCATAAACCCCCCCTTGGTAAGTCGCGACCTGCGATCAGTTGCAGTTTTGCTTGGATCCTGACACCCGCAAGTGGCCACTGTATATCAGCTAGCGTACCTAAACCTTTGTGTAAATTTGACAGATATCAACAGTGTTTATAGGGGTCAAAATTATGGCTTTTTGATTGTCCCAAAAACACTTTTGTTATGTTGAACCATCATATGAAAACTGGTTACCTTTTGGCACAACCATAAAACTAAATACAAAAGGCACACTATTACAATGTAATATTAGTATCATAGTACCTAAATTTTTTAAAACACAACTTCACTTTTTTGGGCAGTTGCTCCTTTTTTGACAGAAATTGTACGCATTAACAATTACTAACAATTTTATTTGTGAAAGATTACAAAAGTTGGCTTTGGTGTTTGATTTATTAGACAACTGGTCAATTAGTTGTTTGACCCCTGATTTATGATTATAAGACAAATGTGTGAAGTGATTTATTTAGCAATTTATTCTGTTTCAACAGAAAGAAGCCATTAATTTGATTTTAATGCCGGGAGATGGAAAAGATACAGTCAATGAAGCAAAGAGGCATTGGAGAAATACAAATAATGCAAAGGAGACGCTGTCTATGATGCCGCGATATAAAATCCGAGAGTGCATGCTGTTGAAGGCGTTACACCGACATGGACAGGACAATGATGGATGTACTAAAGCATTGCTTATGATACCATATTACATGAGGGTTTTGTATGTTCACAGTTATTGTAGTCTTGTATGGAACAAATTAGCATCTTATAGAATTCAACAATACGGAGTTGATGTTGTTGTTGGGGATCTTGTTGAAGTGACTGAGGGAAACAAGACACAGGTTAGTGTATTTTAGTACTCAGCTCAGCTGAATTTGCAACAGGTTGATTGAAGTTTCATTGACGGTCATGTGATTGTTAGTGCATGATATGCATGTGTGTACCAAAACCATCAAGTTCTATATAGTTATGCAGTGTTTGTCAGTTACAGTGAAACAATCATATGCTAATTTATGCTAATTTATGCTAATTGATGACCAGAAATACTACAACATAGGCAGATGATATCTGACTCGGATGGAACGTTTGATAATCATTCTTCGTAGGCTGTCATCGAAAAAATCTGTATTATATAAATTAAATCTGAAAATTGTATGGGCAATCAGTTTATGCTTCAAGTTTCCTAACAGGTGTGCATTATATGTGTAATTTTTCATTTCAAACTGCGTATTCATAGATGGGGGAAAAAAAACATTCTGAGCAATTTTGAGCAATGGTATTCAAGTGAAATAACAACTTGTCCCCACATTTTCTGTGAATTTCTTGATCACTTTAAAGTGGATATACTTTTATAATTTGAAGAACTGTGACCAAAAACATGTTTTTCAGCTCATAACTACAGAATCATTCAAGTTGGAACTACTTAATTGGGACAGGTTTAATTACAAGAGGATTGTTGTCATTGCTCATGAATATTAATGTTGCATGAATATTAATTTATGCAAATTAGACAAATGCTTCAACTAATCACGTCATGCAAATCCTCCCTGCCTTATACTAAAAATAAAATTATTTATATTTAGGTGAAAATAGTAGAACCAGAAGACATCCATAAAAGCAGATACTCTATCAGTGATGTTGTGCTACCATTGCCTGGCAACACAGTTACTATGCCAACCAACTCAGTTTCCCACATGTATTCCCAGCTACTTTCCTCTGATGAATTAGAACAACATAACTTCAGGATCTCTTCTTTGAAAATGAACATCCATGGAGACTACCGAAAACTTATTGCATGGCCAAGAAATACTCAATACAAACTTCTTACAAGAAAGTCTAAAGTTTATGAAGAGAGTTGTAAGGAAACAAAAGCAGTTTTTATTTCCCAGGATGCATGTAGTAGTGCACAGTCAGTCAACAAGGAGGTACAGACATCCAGTGACGATGAACAGTCTGATTGCAATGTAGAAGTTTCATTTGATTTACTGCCATCCTCTTATGCTACAGTGTGCTTAAGAGAAATTATGAAAACTCCTAAATGAGTGTGTTCTTGTGTGCTTTGCTTTGATTACATTCATGGATAGACAAGAATATATTATAATTTATGAAAGACTATATATATCTCACTGTCAATAGGTTTCGAGCTGAATTAATTTTCCTCCAAGACCAATGAAATATCCAACATTGAAATGGCAAAGTTACAAGGTTTGAACTACTGTAGATGGCAGAATTAACCTTTGATCTTGATATTAATTATGCTTGCATAAATAAAATAACTCCTACATATGAACTTCCCGGGGACTTATGTTTTGCCCTGTGTGCGTCCGTCCGTCCGTGCGTCCGTGATCACCTGTATCTCGAACATGCATGGACCGATTAAGTTCAAACTTCACTCATACATCACACATTATATGGGACATATGCACATGCATTTTTTTCATGATCCGATTAACGATAGCCGAATAGCGGCCATTTTAAGGCCGAAAATGAATCAAAATCGCACATTTTCACCATTCCGGACCCGGATCTCAGTTATGCATGGACGGATTTTGTTCAAATTTGGTACATACATTAAACATAATAGGACCTTGATGCACGTCATTTTCTTTTTTGGATCGGGCTCGAAATGGCCGACTGGCGGCCATTTTGTTTTAAAGAATTCAGTTCTGGATCCGTATCTGAGACATGCTTGGATTGATC